TTTCTCGTGGCTGGTCACATATTAGTCTTTTGGACAGGAAGTGCTCACACACCTATACTATACCTAACCCTTTCTGACAGGTATTATTACCTTGACTGGCCCCAGCAACCAGGCCCCTGTAGATCCTGCAGCTGTCGGCATCACCGCTGGTCGTTGAGCGTGTGTGGAGGGAGGCGGGCATACTATGTTGCCGTAGCAACAGATCAGGTCGGTGAAGGACGGTGGGACAGAGCAACTCATTGGCTGACACTTCACAGTTAGCAACTCCCTCTTCAGCAGGTCCATCCTTCAGTATAACCTGGAATGGTAGACAGGTAAACAGACAGACAGGTAGACAGACAGACAGGTTCGGACAAGTGACCAGGCATGAGTCATACCTGTAGTTTCTCAGGTTTCTCCTGGTTAATGATGTTCTTAGCATTTTTCTTCTTCAGTTGAATCTGTCGTTTTGGAACCATCTTTAGACCCTCCCCCTCCTGACCTTTCACCTGGACAGAGTTGTAACATGTTAATAATGTGAAAATAGAACTAAGTTCAACTAAAGCTAGTCAGTCAGTCAGTCAGTGGATGGTGAAACTCACCAGTGGTTCCACATTAATGTCAACACACTTGAAACCACTCTCTAGATCTGACTCTTCATCATCTGATGGGAGGATGACTGAAGGAGAGAAGTGGAGAGAAAGATCTTCCTCTGACCAGTCACTGATACTCCCCTCTTTTTCCTCCACCTCTTCCACAGAGCAACGGGTGGAGGAGATGTCCAGGTAATTTGCCTCAGACTGACTTGTACAGGGCAACTCAGAGATCTTCTCAGCAGGAATTAGTGGACACGGTGGAGGAAATTGTGTCTCAGAGTCATGATGAGGCAGCAGGTCAACTTCTGGGCAGCGGTGAGTGCTGAGGAAGAACTCCCTCCCTCGTCCTCCTCCTCCTCCTCCTCCTCTGTGGTTCAGTGCAGTGCTCATAGTTTCTAGTTTCTGTTTAACAGAGTATCTGACGTTTGATTCTGATGGGACCTGAAAACACAGATTGTTAGTGCAGAGTATCTGTTTTACATGTTGATGACATTGCTATCATGATTACGAATAATGTAGTAAGTAATACAATATATTAAATTAAAAATTACATTTTATGTAATTTCTTGTTGGTGTCTCGTGGCAAAAAGTTCAAATGTTTAAACTTTGGATGGCAATGCCTCTGCTTGCTGGCCTCACGTAATTTTACCATCCTGCTCATGGTAGAGCATTAATTAAACAGCTGATAAACTTGTTTGCTCAAAACAAGAATCATAACTTTTCATTGAAAGTTTGTTGGAAAATTAAATTCAGTTTCTGTTTTTAGTGTCGAGTTGTTTCACACTCATTAGAAACTCCACAGTGATTCATTCTCTCCCTAAAACTTCAACAAAGATGACATTTTAGAAAAATAAATAAGTAAACAATCAATAAATAATAAAACAGATCCAATTATTTTAAACTTATTCTTACCTCTGAAGATTCTGGGTCAGGATCAGGATCAGGATCTGGTTAAGAACAGGGTGATCCTGGTTCTAGTTCCTGGTCAGAGTCTAAGATCAAGTCCAGTCCAGTTTCCGGTCCTGTTCGAGGATTTAGTCTCTTCGGTTGTTTCACTGATTAAAATCCAACTTTAAAGAAACACTTGTGATCCATGAGAGGCAGGTCAGAGCAAGTTCTGGTTTCAGACTGTCGATTTGTTTCAGTTTAAACTTGGTTCAACACCAGCTCAATGTCGGGGCGATCGGCACCATCTGTCCTGCAGGAGAGAGAGAGGTTGAGTGTTGGTGACAGACTACAGGCTCAGAGAGGGAGAGGGAGAGGGAGAGAGAGAGAGATAAACAGAGAGAGA